AGGGGGAGAGGGCCAGCCGGCCCAGGGAGGGGGGGGGGGGTGTCAGGCAGTGGCCGGCCTGGTCCCAATCCGGCAGACGGCTTTTGCCATCCTTGGCCAACCCTCCCCCAGAGGTCAGCCAGCCAAGCGTTGCTCTGGAGGGGCCTGGCCTTGTGTGGCTGACCTCGGCCCTTCGGCCACTGCAGGCTGCCCAGGAACGGTGGGCAAGGGGCCCAGACACTGCAGCAAACCTTGTGACACCCCCCCATGGCCCCTCCAGCCTGCCTTCAGCCCCCCCTCAGAAGGTGCATGGCTTCCGCCTCATGAAGACCCCCCTCCTCCAGCCTTCGTCCACCAGGAGCCCCGTGGGGCAGCCGATCTGAAGGGGGAAGCGGGAGGGATGTGGGTGAAGGAGGAGCCTCACCTGGGATGAGCAGCTGCTGTTTGTGGCTCTTTCTCCTGGACCCCGTGCCTTCTCCCCCCCCCCAACACCCTAACCTGCCCTTGTTTTAGAGGGGCGTCCCCCCCCCACCTGGTTTTGCAACTCCTTTTTCCTCCCTTGTGGGGCAGGATGAGTGGCCACGACCACCATGGGGGAACCTGAAGGGAGAGGGCAGAGCTGAAGGGGCCACGGGGTGGGTGGGAATCCCACAGGCTCTGAGGGCGGATCCTGGCATCATCCTGCCCAGGGCTGTCAGGTGGGCCTGGCCAAGGTGCGAGGGGGGGGGCTGGGGGCAGCAACACGGAGAGCCAGAGCGGTTTGTACATCTTTATTGATTACAGAGGCTACAGAAGGGGGGGGGGGGCTGAATGAGCAGCCAGCAGGAACAACTGCAGAGACCACCACCACCTCTACAGGGTCAAGGGGGAACCTAGAGCACACACACAGACACACAGACACACACACACACACACGCCTGACCAGGTGAAAGGTGGCCCCTGGACTGCAGGTGGGGCTCTGAGTAGACCCAGTGGGCCAAATAAGGCCAGGTCTCTCTTGCCCCCCTGCTCCATAAAACCCTTCGGGCTCACTTGTCAAAGACCCCCCTGGGGGTCTCCTCCATCCATCTCAGAAGGCCTCCATTAAGGCTCTGGGCAGATTGGGCCCATCATCCCCTCCCTGGACCGTCTCTTCCGTCCCACCCCTGGGGGAGCCAGCCAGGGAGATGAGTGGGCAGCAGAGAGAATGGAGCAGCCTCTGTCTGCAGACTCAGCTACCCCCCCCCCCAGCCCCTCTCCTCCCAGGCGGCCCCACGGGGGGGAGATTCCCCAGGCAGAGGGGGGGCAAGGGCGGCTGCATGGGCCCTGGGGGTGCTTAGGGGGAGTCTTGGCCTGCTTGGTGCTGGGGGTCACCTACTCCCCCCCCCCAGGCCCATTGTGTTGTTGCCGCTGGCAAGTGCTGATGGGTGAGGGGTGGAGGGCACATACATCTCTCTGCTTTAGAGCAAGGGGGGGGGGGGACGATGGCCCTTTTGACTTGTGGACGGCATGGCTGGCTGAGGAATTCTGGGAGTTGAAGTCCACAAGTGCCAAAAGGGCCTTCGTTCCCCACCTCAGCTCTGGGGCCAGGACTGGCCAAATGGCCTCCAAGGCCCTTCGCTGGGAGAGCAGCTGCAGCCTCTGCCCAGGAGGCCTCTGCGAAGACAGGAGGGAGCCACAACGTCCGAGGAACCTCAGTCATCTTTCCAAACTTGCACACACACACACACACACAATCACCCCTATTCGGGGCCTAGCTGTGGCAGGAACCAGGGAACGGCCGAGACAAAGGATCCGGGTTAGATCGCACAGGAGCAGGCAGCTCTTTGCAGTCTCCCAGGGCACCTCCGGATCCTCAGGAAGGGAGGGGAGAGGAGGCAGCAACCGTCCTCACATGCCTGTGGAGGAAGGAGAAGAGACCCTCCTTACCTGGAAGAAGCAAGAGGGGGGCTAGGATTCCCCCTCATGGGGGGCTCAGCAGAGCAAAGTTGGTTTCGCCTCCAAAAGCCCCCCCACCGCAGCTCTGCTTGGCTAACCTCCCACCCGTCCCAGAGCTTCCCTGCCGGTCCAAGCGGGGACCCCCTGCTCCACCCCCAAAGCGAGGGGATTCATGCTGGGCCAGCAACTCGGGCGTCCCTGGGTGTGGGGCCCCTGGCTGAAGGCCCCCCCAGCGGCCACAGGGGCAACCAGGAGGACGGCTGAGGGCGCACGCACACCCCTTGCAAACTGAGGCCCTCTTCCCCCCCCCCCCCGTTGGGAAGACGACCACCCCACAGGATTTTCCATTTGCAAACCCCCCCCCCCCATTTGCCGCCTGCTCTTTCGAGGGGGTGAGCGGGGGCAGAGCCCTTCCAGGGACACTTATCTGGGGGTGTCAGGGCCTCTTCCGAATCGACCTCATGGTCCAGGCCTGGAGGGGAAAGAGCGGCAGGTGAGCACAGGACCCCTCGGGCCCTCCCCCCACCCGCCCTTCTCCACAGCCCGGGGAGGAGGGGGCTTGAGAGAGGAGGACGCTGCCCCCTCCTCTCCAGGGAGGACTTACTTTCCTGGGACTCCTGGGAGTGGGACGGCTCCTCCATGGCTGGGCCTGTGGGAACAAAGACCCCGTCTCTCCGTGGCCAAAGGCAGCTGGATGGCTCCCAGTTGGTAGCTTTGCCGGCCAAGAAGAGCCGCTGGTTTCTTCTGGGAAGCTACCGCTTGAGATGCCCCTCTGGCCAGGCAGCCACAGGACGCCCTGGGCAGCCTCCTCCGGCCCAACCACGGCTTCCCTCCCAGGGCCAGTCCCCCTGCCCTGCCCTGCCGCAGCCCACCCACCGCTGGGTGCGTCTCCGGGGAGGAGGGGGTCCAGGCTGAAAGAGCCGAGGTTGGAGGCATCGCTGTGCAGCAGCTCCCCGTTCATCTCCTCCGTGTGGGATCGATCGTCCTGCGCAAAGCTCACAGGGGCCCCACCTGCCAGAGAAAGGGGGGGCAGGAAGGCTGGGCTGGGGGCTACTTCCAGGGCAGGCGCCGGCCAAAGCGGCTGGCCTGCAAAGCCCCAGAATGGGGGCCAAGAGGGCCCAGACTGCCCCGCGGCCTACCTGTCGTTTGCTCCACAGGGCCTGCAGTCTCACCTGCGGAGAGGAAGGCCGAAGGATGAGAGGAAGCTGGGAGGAGGGTGCAGACTTGCTCCTACCCCCCCCCCCAAATTCAGCCTTTGGTTGAACAGGGACCTTGAAACGCCTGGCGTGTCAGGACTGATGGAAGGGATGGAAAGGGCTCCCGTGTGGCTGCTGGGGGGCTGAAGACCCCTTTGTAGATCCCCCATGGAGAGTTTCCTCCCCCTCCCTCTCTTGACCGCTTTGGCCCCGAGGGGACCCTCCTTTCTCTTACTTTCACCAGAGGCCTCCGATTTGCCAGCCACCAGGGGCTCGGAATTTGCCGGGGGCTCTGAAAAGGGGGGGGGGAGAAAAAGGACATTTCCCCCATAACTCTTGCAGGGGCCTCTCCCCTCCCCCCCCAGCCCCTTCCGCCCAGCATCAGGGATTCTGAAGAAGTGGAGGCAGCCCAGGAACCCATCAGCTGCCAGGCCTGGGAGGGGGGCTCCTGGGAGGGGGGCTCCAGGCAGCGAGGGCCCCCAACATCATACCTGGGGTCTGGCTGCTGGCTGGGGAGGTGGGCTCTGGGGAGCTGAGCGGCTCTGCAAAAAGAGGGAGGGAGGCGGGTGGAAGAAAGGCCTGGAAGCAGGGAGGGAGAAGGGGGCTCGGGAGTCCCATGTGGGGGGAGAACGGAGTGGGGGGAACTTCTCTGCCTCCTGGAAGGGGGGGTTCTAGCTAAGCTAGAACCCATCGAGGGCGACGCCCCGTGGGGCGCTCAGCGGCCCCTGCAGACGGAGCGGACCCCCAGTCCGGTGCCCCGTAGGGGACAGTCCCCGGCGCCCAAGGGAGAGCTGAGGCTCAGGGCGAAGGCTCGGGGGGGCCGCCGGGGACTTCCAGGCAGGGATGGCCGCATCTCACCGTCGGCGGCCACCAAGGCCAGGAGCAGAAGCGCGGCTGCCGCCAGGGCCACAAACCTGCAACGGAGGCAGAAGGGCCGCCAGTCAAGGCGGGCGGGCGGGCGGAAGGAGCGCCGGTGGGCAGCACAGCCGCCCGGCCTTCCTACCGGGCGCAGGGCGAGACCAGCGGCTCGGGTGCCCCCTGAAGGCACCGCTGGAAGCCGCCCCGAGGACCCCGGGATGACGGGGAGTCCCGCAGCCCTGGCCCGCTCTCCGGGAGAGCTCCGGGGGCTTTGCGACGCTGCCTCTGCCGGCCCCTCCGCCGCCCCAGGCGCCCCCTCCCCCCCGAGCGCCCACCTGTGCTGCGCCCGCATGCTGCCCCTGGGCAGAGAGGCCGCCGGAGAGGCTTATATGGGGCTCGGGGGCCAGGGAGGAGCCAGGCCGGGCGGGGAGCAGCCAATCCCTGGCTGGCAGAAAGGGGGAAGCCGGCAGCCCGTCGCGACCCTCCCCCAAGCACGGGCCAGTCGGGCGTCCAGCCGGCCTTTTCCCCAGCGTGGCCCCCGCTGCCCCCCTCCGCCCTCGCGGTGAGTCCGGGCGAGGATGGCAAAAAAGAGCCGTCGCTGCGAACTCCGGGTGGCCCCCAGTTAGCCGGAGGGTCCCTTGCGGCGCACCAGCCCCCCCCTCCTCTGCAGCCCTCCGTTGTTCGGCGTCTTGCATTCGGAACCCGCCTTTGCCCCCCGGCCGCCTCCTCAAAGCAGAGTTAGGAAATCGGGGGATTCTCGTGCTGGGCGGTGCCCCTCCCCCGAAAGTCGGCCGGGAGGACAAAGCGCCCTTTGTGTCGCTCCGGTTCTCAGGCCACTTCTGTCGGGGGGGGGGGACGGGGGGGCTTGAGAGGTTGCCTCGCCTATCCCGCCGGCCCACCTGCCTGCGCGTCTCGGCTCAGAATCGGGTCCGCGCAGGGAAGGAAGCGGCGGGGAGGGGGGCGCTGGGCATCCTTTCTGGCCCTGGACGGGGGGGGGGAGCTCTGGCCCCGCTGGGCACCCAGGTCTTCCTTCGGGGCCGCTCTTGCGCATCAGCCCAGTCAACACCCCCCCCCCCCCCCCGTATTTCGCCCTGGTCTCGTAGGCAGCCCAGCCCCGGGTTGGTTCCTGCTCTGAGCCGAGGGGAGACCGGCCGGTCTCAGCCGGGTAACTCGGCCTCATTTCCCCGACGGAAGGCCGGGCGGTGCTGGTGCTGTTTGGACCCCTCCAGAAGGCCCACGGGGAGGGCGATCGGTGCCCCCTCTGGCTCTGCTCGCGGTCAGCTGCCGCGGGAGGGGAGCCGCGTCTCCCCAGGACCCTTGGGGGGGCGAGGGGCGCTGGGCGGCGAGCAGGTCCGGCACAGGGAGCTCTCCCTTGGGCGTCCAGCGAGGCCCCCTTCGTGCCAACGCCGCCCAGCAGCACCGCTGCGGCAGCCGACGGACGAGGCGTCCCCCGTGGGCGGCAGTGGGGCCGAGGCGGGACACACACACACCCCCGCTGGCCGGGAGAACAAGGAGGCCTTTGCCAAGCTCAATGGGCCTTTGTCTGACTTGAAAGGGTCCCTCGGGGCGGGCGGGACTCACCTGCCCGAGTCCGCCCCCGTAATGAGGGGCCAGGTAGGCACCTGGCCGCCTCCCCGAGCCCGGGAGCTGCCTGCCGGCCTGGATGCGAGGGCGGCGCCCGACAAGCGGAGGCGGGGGTCCCAGTCGTCGCTTGGCGCGGGAGGGTTGGGGGGGCGACTGGTGGCCCAGGGGGCGAGGGAGTTGATTGTGTGGAGTGACGCGAGGGGCGGCTTCCCTCCCGGCTCTGCTCTCTTGGCCTGGCAGTCCCTCCCCCAGAGCGGAGCTCTGCCCCACAAGCGGCAGGGGAGCCCACAGGTGGGGGGGGGGGTCCTCGGAGGGCACCAGGGTGGGGGGGACGTCTCGCGAAGTTGCCTTGGCCCTTCCCCCCAAAGTGCCTGCTGGGCTCCCGGCGCTGCCAGGTGGCCAACTGACCCTGTAGGGACGCCCGGCCGACGAAGGGTCAGCTGGAGGGGAGGGGGACGACAGCAGGAGGTGGGTGGGGTCCCCGCTTCCCTTTTCCTTCCGAGGATTTCTTCAGCCTGGGCAGGTGACCCCCTTGCCTGAGATGGGCCGGTGGTGCCCCCTCCCCAGTCCTCCCCCAGCCTCCGCAAGGCCGGACCAGCTCTGGGTTCTTTGACGGGCCCTACTGCCCTCTGGTGGCTCTGGGCAGCACTGCAGCACGAGGCCCTTGGTTCTGCCTCCACCTACTTGCTCAAGGCTGCCCCCCCCTCTTTGGAAAGCCAGTGGTGCTGGGGGGCAGCATCACTCCCAGGGTGGGAAGTTTTCTCCTGCGCGGCTGGGAACCCCGAGCCTGGCCTGCAAAGGTGGGGGTCTACCTGTGCTGAGTCACAGTGAAATTTGCCCTGGCTACTGAATGTTGGGCAGAGGACAGATGACCTTTGACCTGGGGGGAGGATCCTTGGTAGCCACCTCAGAGAAGGGGCTCAGCTGCCTTCTGGGAGGGTTTCCGGCTTTCCCAGCCTGGCGTGGAGCCCCCAGACTCCTCAATGAAGACTTTGCTCATTCAGACTGCTGACTCACAAAGATGGGATTGTAAAATTGATTCCCCCCCCCCCCTTTGCTCCTGTGGAAGAAAGCAGAGAACAGCTGGACACCTTAAAAAAGAGCTGCCAACCTTATAGAATTTGTGGCAAAAGAAACTGGAGCTTAAATGCCACCGAAGGGATCAGCTGGACATAGAAAAGGGAGAGCAATAAAGAGAAGACCTCCCACCGAGGCTGACCTGAAACACCATCTCCCGGGGGTGGGGGGGGCGCATAGGATGAAAATCACGCGGAGTCTTCGTACCGCTTTATAAAGGCTTGGAAAGGCCCCGCCTGCAATGCTGCATCCAGTTTTGGTCACCACATTACAAAAGAAAAATATGTTGAGACTTGAAAATGTGCAGAGAAGAGCGACTGGGATGTTCAAAGACTAAAACCTATAAAGAACAGGATTTGGGCCGGTCCAGGGAAAGGAAGGACTACTAGGGGCAACATGGTAGCCATCTTCCAATCTCTCAGGGGTTGCCCCAGAGAAAGGGGGTGGAGGTTTCAACCTAATTTCCAGGGCAAGAAGCAGCGGGGGAGGGGGGCTCTTGGCAGCGTCCATGGCAGGGCCGGTGGCAGCAGCCCCAGTGGCGGTGGGGCCCTCCTGGGTGCCATTAGCTGGGGCAGCTGGAGCTGCAGGGGTCTCCCGAGTGGAAGAAGCCGTAGACGCTGACCAGGGGGAATATAATGAGAGCCCCCACCATGGAGCCCAGCTGGACCACGGCCCCACACCAGACCAGGGCGCTGCGTCCTTCATCACGCAGAATCTTCCCAACCATCAGCTTGACGTAAGAGAAGAGGCCGGTGAAGAGGACCCAACAGATGACCTGGAGGAAAAGGGAGGGAAGCAGTCGAGCTTCAGGGGTCTCCCTGCTACCACAGCCTGCCCCACCCAGAGGGTCACAAGGGGCCCTGCTCCCCAGCTGAGGGATGCTGGGGCTGCCCTAGGTAGGGTGGAGCCTTGGGGGAGGTTGGGCGTCTCCCTTCCTACTTACGATGAGGAGGACACCGAGGGGCGAATGCAGCAGGGGGGGGCAGGGGCTGAGGGTCGCCATGCTGATGATGTAACAGGCCAGGAGGGACCCCGCCCCAGACAGGAGAGCCAGCAGCCTCAGAGACCTGGAGGGGGAAGAGAGGGGGAAGGGGGCAGAGGGTGAGTCCCACAACTGCAAAGACACCTGCCTGCCAGGTGCAGCCTGGGAAACCCAGCTCCTGCTCCCAGTCGAGAGCCCCCTGTGCTCGGAGAGCCATTGGGATGGGGGGGCATGTCTGATCAGGGCAGAAAGGCCTGGGATCTGGGGGAGGGGGTTGCCACCCCCCCAGTGCAAAATGAAAGAAGACCATCATTATTCAGATCTACATTTCCCTCTAGGCGCAGAAGCCAGGCTCTCTGGGAGGAGGGGGGTCTTCCATCTACTTCACCCTCTCCTCTGCACGGCTGCCTACCTGGGCCTGCTCTGCTGAGGCCACCTTCCTCTTCCAGGAGAAAACACACCCACATGTCTGGGGAGGGTCCCATTGACCTGGGGGGCCCAGAGGGGGCTCCTTTTCCAGGGTCTGGGGGAGGCCGGCCACAACGCCACTCAAAAGGGGGAACTGCTTTGTTAGGATCCCCCTTCCTCAAACCACGACATCCCCCCCCCCACTGGCAGATTCTCTGGCCACAACGGTGGGCTGCCCACCCTGAGTTGCACGGCTGCCTTGAAGGTGCAGCGTTGGCATCTGGGCACCCGAGGATCTGGGCAGGGTCTGCCTTAACAAGGGTCTGGAGAGTCAGTGGTGAGGGGCGCCCAGCAGAGCTCTGTAGGAGGCCGGTGAACTGGGAGTTTTGGGGCACCCCTCTGTCTTCATTGTTGCAGGGAGACCCTCCACCAAAGAACCCCCCCATTGAAATGCCCCCCACGCCAGTTCTCAGGGGCCTGCTGGGTTGCCCCGGTGTGCCACAGTCCCCCGGGGTCTCTCTAGTGGGGCTCCCCTCCCCCCCAGCTCACCTGCTGACCAGGAACATCCCGAGGAAGCAGGCCAGCGGGTTGGCCAGGCTGCCCAAGGCGGCCGAGAGGTGGTAGGCGGGGCGGCCGTAGGGCAGGCAGGAGTAGGACTGCAGCGGGGGCAGGAGGCCATTGGTCAGCGCGTTGGCCCAGGCCATCAGCCCAAAGACGCAGGCCTTCTGGGCACGGGAGGGAGCCGCCCGACAGCCGGAGTCGGGGGCCCTGAGCATGGGATGTCCCGCCACCGCGGCGGCTGCGTCATCCGGGTTCCCTTGCCGGGCACGGTACCTCTTTGCCAGTCCAGGCAGGTGGTTGAGGACGAGGAAGGCTGCCAGGCTCAAGGCCATCATGGCGCTCAGCAGGAGGAAGAAGGTTCGGATGGAGAAATGGGCCTCCTGGTACTCGGCCAGCAGCTCCGTGGTGCCGTTGCCCACCAGGCTGGCGTTGACGCAGCGAGCCGCGCTGGCCCCCTGCCCCAGCGCCACCAGCCCCGGGAGGAGCCCGCTCAGCCCCTCGCCCACGAAGTAGGTGGTCAGGTGCCGAGAGGGCAGCCGGCGCATGTAGGGCAGGAAGGTGACGGAGGAGGTGCAGTCCACCAGGGCCAGGAAGAAGAGCAGCACCAGCAGCGCCAGGCTGTAGCGGGAGGCGCCCAGCGGCCGCGTCTCCTGCCAGAAGAAGGCCAGCAGGAGACAGGCCAGGCAGCCCAGGGCCAGCAGCCCGTAGATGACGCCCACCTCGTCCGCCCGGAGGAAGCGGTGCGCCAGGGTGAAGGCCAGGGGCCCCAGGTTGGCCAGCTGGATGATGACGGTCAGGTAGGTGGGCAGGAGCCAGCCCTCGGGCACGCGGGGCACAATCAGCGGCAGCTCCACCCAGACCCCGTTGATGGCCACCCAGGAGCCGGTGCCCAGCAGGCAGACCAGCAGGTGGACCAAGAGGCCCATGCTCCTGAGCCGGCTCTGCTCAGACGGTTGCAGCTTCTGGGACAATAAGTTGCGATGGCCGGGTCCAGTTGTGCCAAGAGGGAGGGGTGTCGCCTCCCTCCCCCCCCCTCTTCCTCCTCCTCCTTCAGAGGCTGCTGCTCCCGTGTTTTAGTTCACTGCAGGAAACAGAGGGAGAGTCGGAGGGGGGAGACAGGGGTGGGGGGAGAGACTGAATGAATAAAACACAGTTCAGCCCCATGGAAGTCAGAGAAAGCAGTCCCTGGGCTGTCTCTCTCTCTCTCTCTTTTTTTTTAATGCAGGTAATCCTCTACTTACAACCACAACTGAGCCCAAAACGTCTGGTTGTTAAGTGAATTTTGCCCCGTTGTACGACCTTTCTTGCCACCACTGTTAAGTGAATCTGGGCTCCCCGTGGAGTTTGCTTGTCAGGAGTCCTCAAAAGGGAATCACGTGACCCAGGGACACCGGAACCGTCATAAATACGAATCAGTGGCCAAATTCTGATCCTATGATGTGACCTTGGGGAGTGTAGCAGGGCCACTTTTCCCAGTGATGACGTAACTTTGGGTGACGTCGCTTGCTTGCTATCGGCTGCCATAGTAACGGGGAGGGAGGAGGGGGTCCATGGTATTTCGGAGGAGAATAAATGGCTGAAGAGCCCCTCCCTGGCCCTGGAATGGCTGCACTGGTCAAAGGGGGGAAGGGAAGAGCCCCCCTTGGCCCCTGCAAGGCTCCCTCTCCAGCAGAGCTCCCCCCTCGCCCGTCTCTGGGCTGGGTGGGAGGGCGCCTCCCCCGCTCGCAATTCTGCACAGGCTTCCCCAGCTGGAGGGGCCGAGGGAGGGGAGGGGGGTAGCTGCGTGACACGTCTAAAGTAGGGCTGTCCATCCTTGGCCCCTTCAAGGCGCCTGGACCCCAACTCCCAGAATTCCCTTGAGGTGCCCAAGGCTGGAGATCCCTGGCCTCAGGCTTTTCAGGCTGCCCGGGGGTCCTGGGAGTAGAAGTCCAGGCGTCTTTCCTTTGTAGATTGTAGATTGTAGATTTATTTATTTATAGGCCGCCCTTTTCCCTGAGGGGACTCAGGGCGGCTTACAATCAAAAAGGAA